TGTGTTGTTTTTAAGAAGAATTCCTTCATCTTCCTCGTTCCAAGTTCAATAATCAATGACTGAACAGCCTGAAAATTCTTGATCTCTTCGACAAATTCTGGTTTTAATAGAAAGTAAATGTAATAAATATATTAAAGATAATTGCATTAAAATTATTATCGTCATTTCACCATGATTCTTATTTCATTTACTTCAAATTACGCATTGGTTTTCTCCATTACCTTTCCATTTTAAGAAGTTATTAATGAAGTTGTTACATGTTATAGAACAAACAAAACAATGATTCACAACAAAATGTATACGCAGAGCAGTTGTTAAATGCATGTTATGGTACACGGTCAATTAGAGAATGTTTAGCCGCCGGTACCATGTCTAATGTGGAGCCGATTTGCACGTTAGGTCCTGTGCTGTGGCTACTATTAGAATTACAGTGGACTATCCATACAGTGGCGGCTCTAGCATATAATTTATCGGGGGGTTAAGATGTCCGACTGGGGGCTATTTATGGGTGTAATTACAGCCGAAGGCCCGAACCAGGGATGGGTATGGGAGGGGGATGTCCCCTCCTACCAAAACGAAATTTGTTTTAAAAAAAAATGGGAAATCCAGACTAGTAGATGGCCGGAAATGGCTGGACTGGAAAAATTAGGCCTATTTTTTTTTCTTTTTCGTTCCGACTGCCCGAAGAGCTTTGGCCTATGGGAGGGGGTTGACCAGACCGCAGCCCCCCTTCCGCTGGCACCGTCACTGTAGCCATAATATTCCAGGAAATCAACTACAGTAGGACCCGTGAGTTTACTTTGTTTACTATGGTATATAAACTATGTAGAATGTGACACACATACAACGGCATATTAAAAAACCTCAACACAAATTTCGTCACTAACCTGTTGAAAAAAGTCTTTTGAAACGAAAAGTCTGCATTGACATCTTTCCACAAGAAACCTTATCTTTTTTCAGAAAATCCTCAAGATCATGCAGATGAGGTTGCTGTGTTGGTTGACATACGCTGCACAAGACGCGTAACTTGTAGCCGATCCCTTCTGTTGTACCATACACAGTCTTCAGTTGATGCTTCAGGTAGTTTAATACCTAAATAATAAAATATTATTATTTTTAAATCATTTTGTATTTTCAATTGTTTTATTCCAATTTGTTGCACGTAAATTCTACTTTTCCTCATATGAGTTCATATTATAGTCTACAGTAAGATAAAATAATTATTAGGTTCTGCAAAACATGAATGTTAGTGATTTTTCTGATGCAAAACACATTCAAAATGTTACTGTAAGTATTATTATTATTAATTTTATGATTGTTGGACAGTATTCTAACTGTTAGACATGTTCTATTTTCTTTATGTTTATATTACGTACTGAAATGCCACAATATAACGAATTTTAGGCGAGCAAGATTTAAGTCAAAACATTTAGCTGTTGTGTTTACCTCCATGCAGACACTCGGGTGTGGTTCTGATATTACTTGTTTATCATTTGCATCTACTACAATCCGATGCGTTATTTCAAGCTGTAGGAAAAAGATGACAATAACAAAATTAATAATAATAATAATAATAATAATAATAATTATAATAATAATAATAATTACATTTATTATAATTAATTTTAAAGTAGTTTTCCACAATCTTACAGAATGTTTATGATACTGAGGAAATTTCGAAAAAATAGGACAAAATGGTACCTCGTCTAAGGACATGCGCAGTGTTGTTTTCCCAACTTCTTGGATTTTCGACTGGAAATCAACCCATTTTGTGGGAACTGTTTTTGCCATTTGCTTTGTGTAACCTCCGAGATTTTTCTTTAATTCTTCAATCCCTTTGTCATTTGCTGATGTATTATCTACAGCATACATCGTTCTGTCTACGTGAAGTTCGAATGGCATCCCTTTGATTTCTTCAAATATTATTTTGAATATTGCTTCACTCTTTGAATAAAAGTAAATAGTACAATTTCATATAATTTCATTTTACCTGTGTTTTCATACATTGAAATTTACAAAAACAAAGCACATTAGAGCATCCAAAATTGGGATTCAATGACTTAGAGTGGGGAACTTCTTGACAACGGATTACTTATAGCCCGTTTACTGTTCTGTTGACTTTGTAGTGCAGAATTCTGGAAGGCATGGTAGTAGCTGTAGAAAACTATGTGTACGGTGTAGACATTGTCCTGAAAGGGTTTGGAGTTAAATAGATTGGATGTTCACCTTCCAATCTCAAGGTCATTGTTTAAATCCCGTAAGATCCCAGGATATTTCATTCACGATTAAAAAAACTCCATAAGTCTCATTATGAGTTTATGTAAAGCACCATGTGTTTATGTTTGTCATGTGAAGGGATTGCCACCTATTTAGGACAATGATTTAGTCGCTATGGGAAAATAAAATAAATTTTAAGTGTGGGTGATGATAACATTGGTAAACTATAAATAAAATAAAAGTGGATTTCAATGATGGACATGGGGTAAATAAAGATTTACTTTTGGGTGGAGGGCCATAAAAATAGCTTCAAATTATTTTCCGTTCTCCTCATGTTATATAATTGTGGTTTGATGTATTATGTTATATTGGAAATATGAATTTAAAAAAAATAATAACTATATTTCAGTGGTGGAGATCATCCTGAACACTTAGTCAAGTGCGTGCAAGGTTTCGTTTTCTTTTTTGGGGGGTGTTTTTTGCGGTTTTTCTGCTAATTTAGAATGTCGTCATCATTATCATCAACACCACAGTCATTGTCGTCATGGCCATATTCAAAAAGACAAATTCTTGCAAAAGAAAATTTTAATAAACTAGGCCTGTTTATTTAAAAATCTAGAGTTAAATAACTACAATACAATATTAGTATTATCAAGGCCATATATAGATACTTTTGGCAACAAGGGGAATATTTGTTAATACTTTGTTTGCGTAGAGATTAAAGTTATCACGTTATGTATTAACATTTTTTTTTTAATTTTTACATTACACAAAATTCGACTATACTTATGTCTAAAACTGCGATGTAATATCTTACCTGATTCTGTTTATCCTCCTCACTTCCCTCTAACTTGTCTTTGTGAGTGCCAACCAAACTGATTGTGGGTGAGGCTATAGTGTCATTTATCAATTTCGTACTTGCATTATATTGTAGTACAGCGTGCTCATATATTGACCGTATCCAGAAAATAATCATTTGGAGATTAGTCATTTCAAACTGATCCTGATAAAAGGAAGAAGAAAATAAAGGAGAGTAAAGAGAGAGAAGAAAATGAGTGTCATATATAAGACTATTAAATTACAAAGTTACTCAAACGATCTATACAAAATATAAGAACATAGTTAATATACAAAAAACAGATCTAATATGCAATAAGTTAATGAAAAATAATTCTCTTTATTGCATAGTAGAAAAGGTGAAATGATTTATTTACTTTTAGTGGGCCTCTGGATTTTGCCAATTCATTTAAAGGCTCAAACAAACTAAAAGCAACGACATATGACGATCCATCTGTCAAGAAAAACTGGAAAGGAAAAAATAAGTACGTAAACACAATGCATGATCGATTAATGAAAAAATATTAAACATAAAGCGACATTAAGCTTAATCTAAATGTCAACAGATCATTAAAAGAAAATTAAATTATCAACGCTTACTGTATTTTGAAGGTTCTTGGTTTAAGTGCGTAAACTATATTAATGTTGTTGAGTAGATATGCGCCGTGTTATCCCAACTATTATCAGCACGATCGCTATTGTATTATCAATCATTTTAAGGACACAAATGAAAGTAGTCATATGGGTTATCCTTGGCTTTGCTCCATGATTAAATATTCTTCTCTGTTTGTAAGTTTCAATGACATTAGCGTACTATTTTCTTTTTTGTAATAATTTATCTAAATCATATTTTCCCATTTACTCTTCATTGTAGATTTGGGTGTTTATTATTTTAATACATATTGATGTGAAAAAGTAATGTTGCTGTATTTATCATATTTTCACAAATATTTTTGCTGCTTCCCATTGTATGGTAGTGCACCAACATTCATATTTAAACATGATTTCTCGCATGAACACTACGTAAGTGGCTGTAGGCCTGATAATAATTGGCTTTAAACTTTAATAGAAATATATAAATATATTTATTTTATTTATATTTATATATTTTTTTGTTGGTTTTATTAAATTGATAAGGAAAATATTCAATAATTTTAATGAATTGTATATTTTGTATAATGATTGCATTATATATCCATTAATAATCAATTTACTGTGTTGTATATAAAATTAATATATATTTGATACTATAAAATTTAATATCTTTTCATAAAACTGTAAATATCGCTTTTATAGATTAGTTATTTTCTAATTATTTACTGTAGCCTTACACTTTTGATTGTATTGTATTATGCTTCTTTCGTGTCTGTTTTCTGTTTGGTAGGCTTATTTCTATATGTAAACTAAAAAAAACATAACTTTTGTTTCATTTTGAGTATTTTATACTGAATAAATAAAAAAAAATTTAAGCACCTCCAGAACTCTCAAAATATTGAACAGTACATGATTGGCTATAGGCTTATGGTTGAGCTTAAACTTTTCAGACGACCAGTTTTTCTTTATTATTAATTAATCGCGTTTATTATAACATCACATGTGAAAGAAAAAAAAACATCTATTTGTGATACAGATAATCTAATGTCCAATGACAATTACAATAATATTAGAATGTAGCCTTAATACTATAACCAGTAAAGTGCTATGCTGCTTACCCTATGAGTTATATAATATGAGATTTGGCCTGCATAATCCCATATACATGTTACATCACTCGGTACATTTTCAACAACACGTACAAAGCCTGCATCTTTGTTAGTAGCCATGTTTCTCGTTATTTTCATGAAGAATCGTTTAAAAGGGCCGGGTTTTGGTTCTTCTACGCTGCTTGGTTCAGGATTCTGGCGGTCAAGATTAGCAACAACCTTTTTAAAAATGTCTTCTGGGAGTCTATCGAACTGTCTCTTTGATACATTTGCAGCGCTCTGAGACACATCAGAAGTTTCTGAAAAAAGGGAAATAAAATTCAAACTCGAATATATTTTGAGAGCCGGAAGTCAAAAAGAGATGGGCTGGAGTCAAGATGGATGATGGTGATGACAATGGAGTACAATACTAAATTAATTAGGATAATTTAATAATCAAAAAATGATTATGATGATGATATTGAATGAAATTTATGAAGAATGGCAAGAAAAGATGATAAGATAAACATGAGCAATATTATGTTACTGCATTAAAATGTACTGTACGCTAAGTGGAATTCTAAAATCTAGGATTATCGACAGGAGGATGAAAGGGACACGTGAAAATCTGAGTGGGGGAGGGGCTCAATTATCAAGTAAGTGCTCGTAAGTTGGCAAATTTAGGGAGGGAGGGGGAGGGAGGAAAAGAAAAATTACAATTCGTCAGGAAGAAAATACAATGTAGCTTTTACATCCCTTTGAAATAGATAAACTTAAAACTCTCGGTAGCTTTTCATTGTATCCCTTTTTGAGCGATGACTGACCACCTTATTATACGCTCTCGTCAGGGAAATGTTTAATTAGCTGCCAGAAAATAGACAACGTGCAATGTAAAGGTAAACAAGGCTTAAGGCCTGTTTATACTTCAACGATAATGATAACGATAAAAAAAAGCTAAAAAGCAATTGTTCAAATAGAAAATAAAAGAAATAAGAGAGGTTTTTACACTAGAACTATTCGATAACGATTTATTATTTATGCGATAACAACATATTTTGACAAATCAAATCAGATGACGTCATAATCATGGAAAACATTAAAATCGTTAGTAGCAACGATTCCATCGTTTTTCCATGATTATGACGTCATCTGATTTGATTTGGTAAAATATTTTTTTTATCATATACACGATAAATCGTTATCGAATCGTCCTAGTGTAAAAAAATCTCTTATTTCTTTTGTTTTCTATGTGAACAATCGCTTTTTAGCTTTTTTATCGTTATTATTATCGTTGAAGTATAAACAGGCCTTTAGCGGGAAAAATTATCGACTGCCCAATTTCCCTGTAATTATATAAGGAAAAGTGATGAACAGTGATCTTAAATAATAAATACCTCTTTCCTCTAAAGTTAGACTTGTAGCTTCTTCTGATGTTTCCTGCAATAAAATAGTTTGTAAAAATTGTACAGTAATTGGTAAATTATTGTTGTTTTAGCAAATAATCATTAATTTTATTTACTCCTATGTAGTTAAGATATTCTATTTACAATAAAAAATTACTAGCATAATTGAAAATGTGGAAATATCAAGTACCAAATAACAACGCTACAAAATACCGTAAAACGGCTAGGTGACGAATCAAAAATGAGGGGGATCAATGTCAGAGGAACGTTATAGAAAGTGGGGGGAGGGGTAATCAATCCAGTATGCTAGGAAAGCAAGCATCTAGGTAAAGGGGAGAAGCTTATTGGAAGCTACGAATATTTGACCAAATTTTATGAATTTTATTAGCTATTTCATAGGCATCAAATTATTGTAATATGAATTCATATTTGTCTAATGTCAAAGTCGAGACTGATTCCACGATCACAATGAATTCTTCAAAGCATTATTAGGGTATCCTTGATGAAAATTAACACAAATAGCTCAATAAGGAAACTTGCCAAAAAAAGTTTAGACTTAATATTAAAAAAATTATTCCACGACGAAACCTTCTCCTGTTAGACGACGGGGCCCTGAAATATAATTTCAAAAATACCTATTAATTCTTAATGCCAGGCGATAAGTATTTTTATGCTATACAGTTTTTAAAATATACATTTTAATTACAATTTGTATTGTAAAAACTGTAGTTAATCTTTAGAGAACTCTATTTTAATAATTGGCTTAGGAATATCTTATTGTGTTTATTTTTTATGAAATTTAAATGTGGTTATACTGTATATGGTCATGATGTGATGCCATCATGACCATATTAAGGCATGTCATATGTTGTTTTTTTTTTTGTTTTTTTAAAAATAAAATTTGAGAGTCTGGACAGGTTTTATACTATAATGAGAACTAGAGCATTCCAAACAGAGTGCCTTAAGGCAGGCTCAGGTCGACACGGAACTGAAAGGAACTCAAGTCAACTCGTCGACATGAGCGCTCCGCCAACTGAAAAGGACTGAACGCAACTAAATTCATTTCGACTTTGAGCAACTGAACGGAACTGAAAGGAACTTGACTCATGTCGACTGCCAACTGAAAGGAACCATTGGCTAAAAACATTTTCCTCGCGAAATCCCATCAACTGCAAAATGTCTGTAACGTTTTTATTAAGACATGTAATTTTTTTAAAAAGTGTATCTACTTTACTTTTTTATTTTTAAAATGTCGAACGGCAACTGAAACATATGGTGCCTGTTTGATTAGTCGACAGAATTGAGTTTTTAAAGATTTCATTTTCTTCGAAATCTCATCAACTGCAAATAAATGTTCGAATGCTTGTAAGATTAGACGTGTGGTTAAAAATAATAAAATTATTTTTGAAGTTTATCTACTCTTTTTTTTAATTTAGAAAAGTGTATTGCATATTGGTCTATTTGAAATGGGTTCATGCAAAAACTGGTGGAACAATTAACACAAGAAAGGTCTTTTTCTATATGAAAAAAAACCAAAAACAACAAGTACCATACACGCGCGAATAAGCGCCCCGTTTGAATAAGCGCCCCTCTCGAATGAGTGCCCCTCCTAACTTGAAAATTTCCTTAAGCGCCCAATTTGAATAAACGCCCCCTCAATAATTCAAACAATCCTGGACTGTGGATGGTGGCATGATTTGAGGTGTGGAGTGGAATCACATTCTCCTTTAGTCAATATCAAAATGAAGATATTTATCTTGGACAGATGAGAGCTCCCCGGACAGACAGTAAATTTCCAACTCTCATCTTCTTACATTTTTCTATAGCCTAGTCCTACTGCTTTTCCGACAATTTGCACCTAACACATTCTCATCTGAGTTTTCAAGAAAACCTGCAATGATCATGCCATCCTGTTAATATCAATCGGCCGATGGCTAACAAGCTAACCACCACCACCACTACTTTCATCTGCTATTCTGCTGTTATGTAATACTGTACTCACAACATTCTTGTCATGACAAGCCATGCTCTCTGGACAATTATCTTTTCCGCCGCACCACCATTCGTAATTTGCGGTTTCCTGGTCATTTTCTAATCGTTTTTCATTGAAAATGTGCCTCTTGAATTTAATAAGTTCTCATAAGAACCCCCCGATTTTCATCTATTTCCATAAGCGCCCCCTGAATTTTTACTCTGTTTTGATAAGCGCCCCGTTCGAATAAGCGCCCCTCCAAAAGTGCAAAAAATATTTTAAGCGCCCGGGCGCTTATTCGCACAAGTACGGTATACACGAATGCATTTTACACGTGACAATGTTTACATGAATCAGCTGTCAAATATGTTATAAAAATGTATTAATTTAATATTACGCGAATGCAGCAGCATACCTTTGATAGAATTCATAATTAACGCTACACTGCAGAGGGACTTTCTGAAAAAGGAATTGCTTTTCTTGACCTAGGCCTAAGCCCTAGATAATAATGTTCTACTGTTAAAGAATTTGTACAAAACTAACTTCAAAAACAATGCACAATCCGAAGAATTACTGGATTAATTATAATTCGTAAAAATGGATTTTGGTAGTGAAATCTGCATGAAAGTTAGTTGTAAAGTCTTTACTCGTCGTACGTAGAGTTAGACGTAGGCTAGTACTAGTAGTAGGCCAGGACATAGGAAGCCTGCCTTTTTTCTACACTCTATAGGCCTAGCCTAGGCCTGTCTCTTATACACATCTTTTTCTTCGAAATCTCATCAACTGCAAATAAATGTTCGAATGCTTGTAAGATTAGACGTGTGGTTAAAAATAATAAAATTATTTTTGAAGTTTATCTAC